ACAACCACAACCACAACCACACCACCAGCACCACCAGCACCACCAGCACCACCACCACCACCACCAGCACCACCACCACCACCACCACCAGCAGCAGCAGCAGCAGCACCACCACCACCACCAGTCTGTAAGCTGTAAGCCCTCAATCTTCAGCCATCACTGAACCCTGAACTCACATGGAAGCTAATATGTTCAGGCATGTTCAGGGCACAGCAGTCTTTTGTAGTCCCATTCAACGCTCCAAGGTCACGTTTAAAGAAGGAGCACCCCAACCATTGCAGCCGTGCCAGCACGTCTCGCATGGGAATAGGTTAAAGGGCACAAGAACTCTTGTCATGTCACGACAGAAAAACAAACGATGCTGATGCCGGGCACACGTTGCTAAGTCCTGATAGTACGATCACAGTACTGGAAATGGTGGTTCACATGCCACCATGAAGTTGATGACTGCTTCATTGCAAGCCCTTGGATCGCGGGTGCCGAAGAAACCGAAACGTGAGCCAGAAGAAGCCAAACAAGCTGACACGGAAAGCCAGTGTGGATGCACGCGCTGGGGGCACAGGTTTACCCTGTCCTGCGATGTGAACTGCTCATCCGGCATGCCCAGAACATGGTCCACAAATGTCATCAGCTGGTCCAGGTTGGTCGTCCAGCCCTGCAACCACGCTCCCATGACTGGAGGTTCTGTAATGAACCTGATGACATGATCAGGCATAGCACACAGAAGATCGCGTAGGTCGAGCTTTTTGCAGATTCCTGGGCTCTGCTAAGATTCGAGGAGTTCTGTCGGCTTCTTAGGAATCAGGTACAAAGCATGCAACAGCTACAGGCATGGCAGTCTTCAAAGTCCATACAGCGCCATAACTGCACTTAGCACGTTTGCATGCCTAGCAAAAAAAAATGGGTCGCGTAGCACCGCACTGACAGGATCCAGTAAAGAAGCACCTGTAGCTTCCTTCACTGGAAACTGACGCCATACACTCAGAACAAAAAATCCTGGAGCCTGCTCGAAGGCTCGGTCGAAGAAAGCCACATGGGGCAGCTCCAATTTGCGAGCCTGATGATCAAAAGCACATGGGCATCCCCCCTGCTCCCCTTTGAGGCAGACAAAAACATCAGGTCTCACGGGCTTAGGGGTTTGGGGGAGCGAGTCACGACTGCAAGAGAGAAGAAACTGCCTTGGCCACATGATCTCGGACGCCCTCCGTGTCAACCAGACCTGTCGGTTATCTATGACTACACCAGTTCACGCTCACAAGTACTCAGACGAACACAAGAACTTATCTTACTATGGTATGGTTATTGCCATAACAAGGTTTGTTGTCAGAGTGCTCAAGTCAATTTCCAAAGGGCCGATACTCATCCGCCAATACTAAAGTCAACCACACCTTACAAGATTGGGTCGCTTTCAGAAGCTTGCGGAATCACAGTTACGTGTGACTGCGACAAATAAGGGCTATGTTGCATTCCAAACAGTCACACGTATTCAAGTGAAGTCTCCTGGTTTGGGTTGCCCAGGCTGCAGGAAGCGCGCAAGCTTCGGGTTTTAGGGCTTAGGGTTTGGGGAAGGTCCAGACGGACCACCCCTGAGCTCCTGGAGGCAAGCCGAATGGCACTTGCGCAGCGAACCCAGCGAACCCTCTGCGGCTGAAATCTTGCCCAGGGGGAAGGGAGACAATATAGGATATGATGGTATAAGATACAAGATTATAGTAGAATGTAGTAGTATTATCCCAGGCTGCAATATACTGGATATTCTTGGGCAGTCTGGAGATGAGTCATGGTAAAACTCTTGGCCCATTGGAACAACACCCATGGAGAATTCAGATGTCATTCACCTGTGTCCCGCATACCCAAGATTCATGTATTTCTCAACTAGAATGGCATAACTTTTCCCTCGGAATCCAATGACGAGGTCCTGTTTTTGGAAGCTTGGAACCACACTCCTGGAACTTTCTGAGGTGTGGTTCCAGCCTGAAACCACACCTCAAAAAATGATTGTTTTAGCACTGTCCAGACCATTTTGGGGGTTCCTCAACCATTGGGGGGCTGCTTCCTTGCTCCCAGACCATTTCTGGGCTGGCTTTGAGGCTTTCCCAGACCATTTCCGTGCTGGTTGGGGCGTGGCTTCTGTGTTTGGGTTGTTGACTTCATTCCGCAGCTAAACAACTGAGCTCAATGATCCGCGGCGTACTTTCCTTGAATGCCACTTTCCTTGCCGAATCATTTAAATCACGCATGCATAGGAGAGATATATACAGACAATGACATGGATGTATATGTTTAAGATACCATAATATACCATAATATACTATCATACACCACAATACTATAATCTACTATTGTATAAGATGCTATAATATATGGGTGGTTGTCAAAATTATGGTCCCTTTTTGGATCCCTATTATAATACGGCACCTAATATTTAGGGTACCCAAAAAGGGACCATAATTTTGACAACCACCCATATAGTATCTAAGCAAGTTCATGGTGGGCAGTATCGACTCTGTACGCCAGGCAGGCCTGGACTCAGGGAGCCGACGGCAATCCCCAAGTCTTCAGCGTTCCTACGGATTTCAGAGGGATGGGATGACATAGACTTTGAGGTATAGGCTATATAGGGTTTAGGGTGGTTTAGGGTTTAGGGGGTATGGGTTTCAATCTTGCATTATAGGATGGTGCAAGAATAGCAGTGCGTTGTATGCAGTTACAGGATTTCAACCGCTTAGAGCTGAGTTCAGGATGAGTAGGTTTTTGGGCGTTCTTTGAGAGAGTGTCAGAGCTGCATGTTTGGGTTTTCATTTCAAGGCTATGGGTCGGCAATCCAATTTCCCGAGACCTTCATCTCCGACCTTTACGCTGGCAGTCTCGAGATGTCTAGAGGATGTCTGGAACACACTCCAAGTGAGGCTCATGCACACAGAACTTGACTAATCGACATTGAACACTCCCCAATTGAATGCTATATATTCCTAGAAGCAGCCTCGCAAACAAAGATACCTATATAGAGACATAAAAATACGTATACGGACACATACGTGTATGTATATAAATATACATACACATGTATCGCAGGACATGTATGCGAGAGGTAGGGGTGCGCACGGGATGGAACCGTGTGGGACGCAGAGCTATCTGCTTTCAAGTTGCAGCTGCTGGAACAGACGGAAGAAAGCAGCCTTGGTGATTCCATACCTGCCAAGTGGCCACAGAAATCCTGCCATTCAGTTAACAGAACCACTACCCCAAGTGTTGCTATGCGGGGCTCCTTCTGCTCTAGCTGTCTAGCTGTTCAAGCAACTTCGCTCCCTGCACAGGACATATTGTTTCTGTGTCACAGCGGCGCCAGTTGATATGAAGTGGTTATGTCGGGCTGTCTATGCGTACATGAGTGTCGGCTTTTATTACCCGGGCCTTATGCAGCATGTTTAATTCACGGCCCCCGCATCATATTCGATCTTGTATTGTACCTTGACAAAATCACCTGATTTCGTTCGCCGGGTTCCGGATATCTACTTCACTCCTCTTGCAAAGGAAACTGTGAATTACCTCGTTCAATCCACGGCCCCCATCTAGTTCCCAGCATAACACTGAACCCAGACGCAAAAATAGGTACGCGCTTAGCCTTTTACTCTCTTACTTGCATACACGCCGCTGCCCACGTGAATCGTGACTGTGATTGCAATCCTCAACTGGCTCTCTCACCTTGCTATGACAGACCAAATCCAGCCGAAGTCTGGTGCGCACTCATAACAAGTTTGTTGGCTCACGTCGCGGTGCCACGCTGCGGGCTGTGCCTTGCAGACTCTGACCGAAGCGGCGTGGTCAAACACATCCAGCAGACCCTTAGGTGCAGTCGGGCAGACGCCACTGAGGTACCAAGGTGGAGCACCCGGCCACCACGCAAGCGAGGGAGAAGCGCCTCCGTCACGCATACAACTTATAGCGGACAGGAACATTTGTATGGGCTTCGCGAAAGAAAATTCATTAGCAAACGGAAGTTCACCGCTGCCGTGCCTTTGTCAGCGCAAGAGGTCCCACCACATTGACGCGCAAGGCTTCCTGCTTTAAAGGAAACAACAAGGGGTTGCGTCTCCGAGGTCAGAATTTAGACATGCCTCATGAAGGCTTCTTGATCTTGTCGACCCTTCATGAAAATGATATATACACTAAGCTCCTCGAAGTGGTCGATATCTAGTTCGGGTAGGGGCCCTGGATCACCAATGGCCGCGTTCTGCACCTGATAGAAGCAGCTGCAGTTCGTATTCAAGCCTTGGCCTCTTGTGTGGCAGCGAACATGTCAACACCCCTCTATCAACTCTCAGCAAGATGGGTTTGAAGCGGTCTTGATGCCAGGACGGGCGGCCAGCAGCGACACCGAGGCGTCAGCTGGCAGCGCATTGACTAGCCTGGAGAAAATGCTTTGCCTTGCAAGCCTGGGGCCTGGCGCCTGGCGCGAAGACCTGAGACATCCTGAGACGCGGTTTCGTGTAGCCCAGTAGGGTCAAGAGCAACTTCCTTTTACTGCTGCGGGACAGAATGGGACAGACACACAACGACAGGATTGCCTGGCCCGACCCTCCTCCGTGCCAATGTCACAAGAAACGACGGCCACTGCCTCCGCAAGATTTGGAACTATGGAGACCACCTGATCATCTGTGCGCCTATGCCAATGCATGGTCTTCCCCACCTCTGGATTTTTTGCCATGCTCTTCGTGTCGTTCAGCACATCCTGCAAGAAGGGTTCACTGGAGCTGCTGATGTAAGCCATACCACTATGCCTGCCATCCAAAGAGGTCAGCTGGCCTCTCGTCTCCCGCAGCAGAGCACAGGCCCGCGGCTGCTGAAGTGGCTGACAAGGCCTTCTCAACAGAAAGAAGGGAAGGAGTTTCAGGTTCAGATGTCCAATCGCCTCGACCGATGCCAGAGCCACCGCCTGTGATCACCACCCAGGCCATGGCCAGCGCAGCAATGTTTCTCTCAAGAAACGCTTTAAAACACCTTCTCACAGTTGCTAGTGGTGCTGAGCTTTGTGGTTGATGAGCCAATGGCTCAGGCAATAAAACAGCAATGCAGACAGATAATCAAGGGCTGGCAATTTCCACAGAAAAGCGCAATCCTAGCACTTAATTAATTGGGGGGCCCCCCCCCGCCAGAATAAGAAATGGAGGGCGCCGGATTAAAAGAATGATTGGGGCTCCTTGGCTCTTGGACCTCTAATTAAAACATGAATAGGAGTGTATTGAAGATGTCCATTATCAGGATTGGTCCCCAAAAAACTGTGCTTTAAACCTGGTCCCTTTTCCCCAAACGAACTTCAACCTAATTGAAAGTAATCTTTGGCGGCTAATTCTAGCAAAACATACCGGCCGTCCCCCTAAGGAGCGCGCTGACCCCTTGACGGGCCATCGGCATCACTACCTGTGTCAAGGTCGGCGGCACATGGCTATTGCATGCTATTGCTGCTGTACCCTGGGTCAGTTTTACATCCCATGAAGGCATGGCCGCGCCAGAACTAGGCACCAGGACACTGAGCGTGACACATGGGACATATGCACATGTAGCTACACCACTCGCACATGCAAGTATGTCTACGAATGTGAACATACCCATATACATGCCCACGTGTATGTATAAATATATGTGCGTATGTTCTGCAGGTCAACCTGGTCAAGTTCTGCTTCTGGTGCAACCCTGAGCCAAAACCCTAGACCCCAAACCCAAACTCCATATCCTAAATTGTAACCCTCAACTCTGCTCTCAAACCTTGACCTAACCTCTAAAGTCTAAGCCCCATCCACAACCCCGAACCCCACCAGACGACCAGCCTGCGCTGGGGCTGCCCGGGACGGGCGCAGGAGCTTGCAGTCCCTGGAATTACAGAGGAGGAACTTCCAGACACAAAGATACAGAGATACCCTTTCTTAGGCTTGCATACGGGGGCCTCCCTTATTAGGCTTATCTGGCAGTATTGTTGTCAAAAACTTTTGAAGCAGCAGGCATTTGGGTCAGGCCCACCCAAGCAGTGACTTCCACAAGTGAGGTGAGCTGCAAACATGAGCTTCAAAGTTCGGTACCCATGAAATCCACTCAGGGGAAAACAAAGGAATCCGCCCGGTAAACCCAAATCCCAAGCCCGACTATCCTGAACCCCTGACTCCCATCATGCGCCTGTGGAGATCGATCTCCCCTACACCAACCACAAGATACGCCCCTCACCTGCAGGGCTGTGCCGCCAGCACTCTTGCAAGGACGGTTCTGGCGGAAGCATGTTCTCTCAATTCCAACTGTCATTCTGCATCAGATGTTAACTGACATATCCTGCAAGAAGGAAAAGGGCATGTCTCTTGGATGGGATGCAGTAGGGCGCACTTCAATTAGATTTGTACCAAGGCCAGCTCATCAACCATGTGTGGGCAATGGAACAAGGTTCCCCACATTATCCTTCCTACCAAGTAGAATCCCCTCATCATTCCCCGGTCTCCTAAATCTAGTGATTCCTCGCAGCTTCATATTCATACCCCGGTCGTCTTTGCAGTTTACATCTTGCTGCCTCAGCAGCAGCTGGTGGGACCTGTGGCAACGGAGGAAGCGGCTGGGAACTAGGGTCAATTTCGGGCCTGTACAGTCTTCAGCATTTTGTTATCATGAGGTGGTTTCTGAACATCGCATGATGACCCCGAATGGCTTCCAAACATCATGGCCACAAAAAGGTTATGCTCGAACATGAGGGCCCCCACATTGTTCTGCTCCACATCCAGAAATTTGGACATGCCTGGTGCCAAAACCAAGGTCTCCCCATGCCTCATCATCGAAGATACTAGAGCCTTGAAAGTACCCAGAACGACGCTTACCCTCTAGAGTGATGCAGTCCTTCACATAGGATCCCCAAACAGGGCAAGCATAATCCCCTGCGCTGCAGCTGGGTCTTCCACCAGCCGTTGTGGCGGGAAAGGCTCTGAAGATAGGTTCGTCCTGGACACTATGCCGCTGAAGGAAGTTCTAAGCATCGGTCATGAAGTATAGACGGGTCTGCGGAGGAAAGCATGCGCAAGCTCAAGTAAGACCTATAGTTTCTCCGTGGACATTCAAATGATTATGATGCCTGATTGCTACCCGGCCAATGACCACATCAGTGGCAAAAGTCCACCCCCTCCATGAGACGAGGCACGGAGGGTTGAAGCTGCGGTGCACAGAGGCCCCCTTGGCAGGGTTGAGGCATGGAGCCACAATACGCGGCACTTCCCTCAATAGCTGATCACTTACGAGAAGCCATGAGAAGCTGTCTTCATCCTTCCATGCAGTAGGGCCATGCATGCCTACTCAGCCTGCTCGAAACTGAAAGCGCTGCTTCCGAGCCTGCGGGTACTGTGACGGCGGTGCTTGCACAGCCAGCGCTGCTTGCGCTGCCTGTGCTTGTGCTGCCTGCGTTTGCGCTGCTGGTGCTGCTTGAGCAACTTGCGGTGCCCGTGTGCCGAGCGTTGTTGGCGCTGCTTGTGCTGCATGCGCTGCCTGCGCTGCTTGTGCCGCATGCGCTGCCTGCGCTGCCTGCGCTGCCTGCGCTGCCTGCGCTGCCTGCGCTGCCTGTGCTGCCTGCTGCGCTGCCTGTGCTGCCTGCGCAGCCTGCACAGCCTGCATCGCTTGCGCTGTATGAGCTGCTTGCGCTGCTGCATACGCTGCATTGGCTGCTGGCGCTGTCTGTGGTGCTGGGACTGTTGCGTGGGCTCCGACTCTGTGTCCCTGTTGCCTGGCACCACAAGAGACTCAATTCAATAACACCAGCGCTCAGCATCACAGGCGCTTTAGTGCTTGCAAAGCTATCACTTTGCCAGACCCTTGGCCATGCATGATCTGATAAGCAGGCTCCTGTTTTCTCCCAAATAAAAACAACCAACAAACGGGGACTTCCAAAGTCGAGCCGTGATGTTGGTCCATACTCAGAAGGATGAGGATGCAGGCAGGATGCTCATACAGATCGCGCGAAGGCAGCAACTGCTGCGGATGCCTGGCTTCAAGATACATGCTGTTTCGGAAACATTCCAGAGAGTATGCCCAAATGCGGGGATGCCTGGCCTCAACAAGAACCCCTGAGGTTGGCAACGTGCCTTCCAGACTAACCCCTAGATAACCCCTATATAAACCGTATATTCAGCCTACATATATATACATATATATATACCCTGGTATAACCCCTACATTAATCCTATCTGCATATATGTTATATATATATATCATATATACACCCCAATATAACCCCAATATCTAGCCTGTATATACTCCTATATAACTATAACCCAACTAATAAAACCCCGAGACAAAGCATATGTTCAGCTGAGATGCTCCCCAGGCCCAGACTGCACAAAGGGTGGCAAAGGGTCACGCACCTGGGGCTCACTCTGATCCGGTATTTTTCCTGTGTTGCCATTATTACTACTATTACTAATACTATTCTGATTACTATGATTACTAGTAGAATTATTTCTATTTTCAGGTGTTTCTTTCACTCCCTTTCAATGCGACAAGCAGCGGAACAAGCAGACCAGAACATGTACTGACACAGTGCCCATAGCACCACAGAACGACGGTACCTGACCCGGCTGCTCCATCACAGTCATGACCTGATACAAGGGCTCGCAAAGGCATCAGTGCAGGTTTTCAAGAAATCCCGATTTGCTGTCCCTTCAATTGCAAGGAGGCGCTACTGTTGGTATTGGAAGTGAAACTGTCGCCCATCAATATTCTCCATATTTGCCTGAATGATGAAACCCTTTTGCAGAAGCTGCATGAGTCATCAATGACCGCAAAAACCGCTACTGACTTACCCTCAACAGAAAATCACAGCCAAGTTTTTGAGGCAGTGTTGCCCTCACTTGAATCAGATCAAGCTCCAGTATGCCAAACTTTCGGGGCTTGGATGGCGCTTCCCCATCCTTTTGAGCAACTCTCTATGATGTCAGGTTATTCAGCGTGGCTTTTCTTGCCGGACTCTAGGCTGGATCTTCGAATTGCTAAACCCCACCACGACTCATCTAACTATTCACTGCGAATTCAAAGCCTTCAGCTCCGAAAACTAAAGCTCACCTAAATTTTCCAAGCATAAGCAAGTTGATCACAAAACACACACCAAATGCAGCCCACAATCCTAATGGATACTGTCCCGGTCAAGTGGGCCGACTGATCCTCTTTTGCTGGTATTTTGGCATGTGCATTTGATGTCCAATTTGCGGGGTCGTACTGCTCCTTAAGTCCAAGTCCCTCAGACGCTGTAAACTGACAGCTTTTGGAATGCCGATGCAAACACGATGATACCGTTGCCTGAGCCCCCAAAGGTGGCGCAGACGCGAGTGAATTGCCTGAGCATTTCAACTCCTTGAATGTCACCAGCAAACATGAAAGGCATAGAACTTCTTGTAAGCAAATGCCGCGCGAGCCGTGTGAACAGTGCTTGAGGAAGTGCTCGACTCGTGACTTTTGAGCGGATTACGTGAACATCCGCTATGGTGAGGGCCTCCCATGTCGGAGCTCCCACAGAGGCGATTCTAGTACAACCTGTACATACCAATCATACCTTAGATTCTGACACGGCCGTCTCACCTTCATAGGGAAGCTGCACAACATGGGGAGTTTCTGCCTGTAGCACTGCAGGATGATTAGACCTTCAAGCTTCGGACTGCTGGGCTTCCTGCGCAGGCCCAAGCCGTCCGCATAGGGTTGCGGAGATGGTGGAAAAGATCTGCCACAGTTAGCGCATCAGTTTTTGCAGAGCTGCAGGTGACTGTGTACCCGTGATGGTCGAGAAAACCACGTGTGGATAGTTGGCGGAATCGTCATGAAGTGTTCGCAATGCTGCTCCATCCTGGCACCTCATTGAAGCTTATTGCACCCGAACATAGCCAGTCCTCCGAAACATGATGTTGCAGACCCTTCATCGGTGCTCCAAAAACTATTTGCAGGATAAACCTCAAAGATCCTGGAGCCCCCTATCGTGACAGGGAAAGTGCTACCGCTGAGTAGTGGCCTGTCTGGTCCAACTGCATGACCAGGATGGCCTCAAATCACCCAGAACGGATTTGTGCAGCTTTTCCGTGATGAGACCCAAGAAGCTGAAGCACTCTTCAGGTCAGAAGCCTTCTGCATTAGCGCCTCTTCAAGAACTACACACGCAAATGACCTTCCGTAGAGAACCTGTCACAACCTCCGTCCTAGGAAACGCAAAGTTCCCATGGACGCATTCCATATATCATATATCCATGGTCGATGTCTTTCGGGAGGCTCTCTTGCAAGCGTCCACTTTGAGCATCCCACCGTTGCTGACCGCCATAGGCCTGGCACAAACAGGGAGTCCATCTGTTGAGTCCCTTGCATGTAGCGCGCCCTAGCTTCTATAATCCTATGAATACCTTGGATTTCAGATGGATGGTGTGGTGCTCCGTTCCATAAGGAGACATGGGTGCATACAAGAACCAAACGGGGATGATGGATTGTTTGTGCCGGGCACCTCATGTTCTGCAGCGGCTCGGATCGTGATAGGCAACAGGGTTTTGAAAAATCAGGAATTCTGTTGTGAATCCGAAGGATGTGTTTGGACTCTCGACTTCTTAATCCGCCGACCTTTGGGGTTGTGGTCTGAAGATACGGAAGAGGATAAACACCCCTTGCTTCTCTGCCTTGCAGCTTCAAACGCGGGGGTGGGGGGGCCAGGTCTGGAGGTGGTATTCCGGTTGTGCCCTGGATTCCGGATTCCCTGGATATGGTTCCAAAACCTGTGCAAAGTAGAAATGGAGGCAACGCGCCTGTAGTTTTGTACCAAATACGGCAAACTTGCAAATCCCGGCAAGCTTGACTTGAACTTCTCTCCCTTGCACCGTTTGGTCTCGCATTGAATCCCTGAAACCATGACTTCTGCTACATACAAATTTCGCTTTCGTCTTACATGGGGAGAGCCTGACTGGGGTGGGGTCGGCGGGTTGAGCCACAAACTCTTATAGTCGGGCAACGCCCATGTGTGCTTGCTCCAACGACGTAGCCATAACTTAGGGGGGGGGGTTGGCTTTCGCCGCCAACCTTGCATCATCGGAGCTAAGGGGGACCTCATTTCGAAGGCAGCCTGAAATCATTACGCGCTCCGAAGGCTTCACACACCACTACGGGGTTTTTGACGGATTTTTGGGTCCCCAGGCCCATGAGCACGGACCGATTTCAAAATTCGCCCCAAAACCCTTCTCGGGCCGGGCTTCTAGTATATCAGTGCAATATGTTCTGGAGCCTTCTGTCGCGCTTGCCACCCGTGCGCACGCATGCTGGCACAAGCTGAGTTGCGGCGCTCGTGCGGCCCCTCGCGTTGCGTGAGCGGCGAATCTTGCGCGGGCCTTCACAAAGCTAGATCTGCACACGATTTGCTCTGTGGCGTTGCCCGTCCCTGGACTCTAAGCAGGGGCCGTATCTTGTTTGCAGCTCTCTGAAGGACCAAGTACCAGGTACCGACTGCAAGGTGCCACGGCGATATGAACGCTGGCTTCGACTTTCAGCTTTCCCAATGAAGCACATTGAGTCAGGCCTGTCCGGTGAGTTCCAGTGCCCGTTGCCTGGCAGGTAGGAAGCTAGCTAGGGGCGGCAGGCTGCCTCTCGCTGTCTGCATGCCATAACTTCACAGGTCCATGATCCAAGCATGCCCTGACTGATTTCATCACCGGCATGTCATGAATGCTGTCATCACAGCTGCGTGCTCCAATACGCTTTGCCCTGACCGCACCTGGACTGAAGCCACCCGGGCCCGAAGGTGAGAAAGGCTCCAAAGTCATCTGAGCAGGTCACTTGAAAGTCCCTCGACTCTCACTTGTGAATGGCCGTTTCCACACCAGACACACTGATCATTGCTGCACTACATGGTGGTGGCACGTTGGGGCTGGAACAGGCGCAGGCGAGCCGCTGTAGCCACCCGCAGGCTGCGCATAACATGTGCGAGAGTCTCACATGCCGAACTCCAAGTATTTTAGATCTTTAGTCTGTGTCCTACACCTGCACGCACCTGTTCACACCTGCAGCCGGCGCAATGGGAGATGAGGCCTGCAACGTAATGCTAATGTTCAGGATTCCCGTCTGCTCTCCCTTCTTGAAGAGAGGTACCGGGACCTGCAACACGAACTCTTCGCTGCCAGGCACCATAGCTCGGATGACCAGCCTCCTGCGTCCGGGCAGTGGCCCGTCTCCACAAGTTGTCCAAATCATACTCGGCCTTCGGGCAAATTGCAGGGCCAAGCTGCGATGGAAACAAATCCTGCCATGTCACAGACGATTGTGTATGGTGCCCGCAATCAAGTTGCATGATAGTCCCAGCACAGAAATCTTGACCATGCAATTGGGTTGCCGTCAACAAAACTTCATCGAGCCTCCCCGCACAACACGGGGCTGCGCCACACATGGTCAATGTGGACCTTTCGTTAAGCAAGCGCAACTTGCTAGCCAAAGGAGCCCCAAATATCTTTGCATAGAGAGCGCGGAGGTTGCCAAACAGATGCACACAACCACAACTCCTGCTAAAGTCGTTGTGTGACATGCCGTGACAAACCGCAAAGTCTGAAATCAAAACAGGCATGCCGGCACAAGTTGTGAGAGTCACTACATCATCCCGCTTAAAGAGCCAAGAACCGTGGCTGATGCAAGTCGCAAGTTGGAAGGCCAGCTAGCCTTGAATTTCAGCGTCTTTCCACGGTTTCGGCTGCACAGGAACCTCAGACGATTGGATGGGAAACCACTGAGGACCGAATCTACAGAATCTCGCACATCCGCCGAAGAAAAGATTGCCAGTGACATGCGGCGGTGGGCCTTTGGTTCCACCTGGGCGCGAGGTTGCCGTTCTTGCAAACATCTGTCCGGCCAACAACCTGGACGAGATCTGCGCCCCGAAAAGCTCTCATGCGTCCCAGCTTCAGCCGAAAAAGCATCAAGAGCGCGAACGAAAGGCTGGCGATCTACTTTTCCTACGGGCGTGCTTTCCCTCTACATGCAGCTTTTGCCAGCTTCAACCTTCACATCTCTTCTAACGCAGTCGCAATCGAAACAGCGTTTGTGGCAAGGTGCTTGCGTAGGCCCTTTCCAAGGTTTCGAAGGTTTTTCGTAAATTGCTCTTTCGCTGGGCTGAAGTCGCATGCCTTCTCACTGCCATCGTCGAAGCCACAGACCTGTCATCACACAAACCAGAAAGGCGGTAGAAAACCTGATTTGGCTGCAGGACTGCTTCATGACCATCTGAGTCATACAGCTGGAAACGGAACATGCGCAAATGCAAAACATCTTCAGCTGGATGTCGATGAGACTAGTGCACATTCTGCTTCATTCTGCATAGCACTGCGCAAACGGCTCTGCCTACAAGAATGGGTGTGTGGGTGCCCAGGGCTGCTGCAAGCTGGACAAAGACATCCTGATTCGGCTTCAGGCTGTCGAAAATGCGTACGAGACGGGCCTGTCAAGCTGATATAGAGTATCCTCCCGCACACTTTGACTTCATGGAGTCTGTGGCAAACCCAAACTCACGTACGCACCACGTGCCTCTAGAATCTTGATGTCCAACTGCGTAGTGGTCGTCATGATGCATGCGCCACTTACGCAAGCATCTTCCGACTAGACAAACAGCACTTTTGGGTTGACCAGTCTTCCCACGCATACAGATATTGGGACGGCCTCCTTTGTAGCTAGCTGGGCTATAGTAAGGCTGCAAACGAAGCAGCGGTGATTTCTCATCTTACTTTTGCTCGACATGCTCCAAGGGTTTTCAGAAGCAAGTTTTACAAATGCGGCCAGTGTTTGAGACATGGTCACAAGACATCTAGAACTGGTTAATCCTGCTAGCCGTTGCAACTGCGGCAACACTGTAGCAAAGATTGTGAAGCTAGTGAGCAATTGTAATACAGTGCAATATACTACAACATACGACAATATACTACAACATACTCTACTGCACTATGAAATACTGGCTTGCGAGGCCTGGCCAGCATTGACTTCTACTGATCAGCTGTTGAGGGGGCGCGCATTCGGGTTGATCTCCCAGCAAGCTGTTTCGCACGGAATGTTCAACGAAATGTCTCATGCATAGCGCTGATAGAAAGTCCCTGCGCTGCTTGCGGGTGCCAAACAAATTTTGGTCAGGCAGCCAGCTAAGATAGCCGCTGACCAGCGGCCTTGTCTGCAACTTGTGTCCAAGGTTTCAGCTGCTGGAGTCTCAGTTTGAAAACTACGGCTTTCGCACCTGGCGTATGTGCACATCGACAAAACTACTCTTCACATGTCATCATGCGATCTCCAGCCCCAAGCATCATGATGCCACAACATCACCGAGCAGAAGCTGCAAGCTGCAAGCCACACGCAAGGATGGTCATTGGAGGGAGTGCGCTGTCTAACGTCTCAGCTTCAAAATCAAAGCTCTTTGCACTTGCACCCGAAGTGCATCAACAAAACTACTCACGATGCCTCATCATGCGACCTGGCACCACTCCTTCGGCCCGAAAGACAGCAAAGACAGCAACACAAGTCAAGGTCTCGTCTCAGGTTGAAAACTACGTTCTCTCGCATCTGCGCAGCTTGCGCATAGACAAAACTACTCACCAACTGTCATCCTGCGACGCGCATTGCAACGCGCTTTGCGGGAGAGTGCAGCGGCATATTTAAAGGGCGCCCGGCAACCAAGGCGCACCAAGCCACAAATGCCGCAAGCTTACCAAATCTCAAGCGTCGCACGCTAGCCTCTAGCATGCAAGCGCGGGTACAAGCAGAAGGCAAGCGGATCAAGCAAGCCAAACAACCAGGGCACGAATGCTCAAGAAAAAACTGGCACAAGCAGTCTTTCTATGGCTGTCTTGCGACCCCATTACTTGGAGATTTGCCACAATCTGGTACACCTGTAACTCAAAGGAACTCACTTTTGGGAGACCACGGCTTGGTAGCAGCACTTTGGCACCACAAAAGATCTGTGAGACCGTTCACTTAAAACATGAATGAGATCTGCCTCACATTGCCCATCCACAGCCTTGAAGTTCAAGCACAAGCCTCGTGAAATCGTCTACTGCTCGTGTGCGTGGGGACAGATCTATTCATGGCTATACGCACAGTCACTTCCTGTTCCTGGCGGCACCGGAAAAGCCCTTTTAAAAAGCCTCGGTTGAAGCACCGGAAATGCTGTTGAGGAGGCTTTGTAGATCGACAAATGACGGCCCTGACACGGCTCACGGCTTTCAGTTGAGCCACACGATGTGAGCTGCGCTGAATCCCGCTGGCTGCATCCAGCCGCAGAGGGCGCACCTGCTGAAAAGGCTGCGTGATGCTACATTGCATGAAAAGACCTGCAGCGGGCTAGCATCTAGCAGCATCTAGCATCAAGCACCACTGGAATGTCAGAGCCTCCTCGTCGCAGAGCCATACTTGCAAACCCCAGCATGCATGCGGGACCTGGCCTTGGGCGCCTGGCTCTTGGGAAGAGAATACAGCACTCACTGAGCCACAAGCTGCAAACCATACCGTGACACATATCGTCTTCTGCGACGTTCTGGCTACTTTGTTGCAACATATTGGACCTCTCCAACGCATGCGGCTTCTGGTCTGGTTCGACGGCACTTGTTGTTGAGCGGTCTCAGCGACGAGTAGGTTCAAGACGGCTGCGCACCATCTTGGCACCTTGCCTACTACTTTGTGTATAGACAGAAGCATGCGGCACGCAGCAAAATGAGCTGGTAGCAGCATCTGCTTCGAAGACGGTTGCAGGAGCACATGCTCCATAAGAAATTGTGAAAGACTCACCAAATCCATGAAAAAAGAGACTGGGACAGCATCAGCACCTGCAAAGGCTAGCAAGATGTCGTAGCAGGCAGATCTGATACCATCCAAGAAAATCATTGAATCTGAAGCAATGCCTGGTATGGTACCAAACGGAGTTCCATGCTACAACTCTGGGCAAGGGATGCTCTAGGGTCCCGGCTAGCGCAGACGCCTTGGCCGGAACTTGCTATACCGCAATGCTCCGCGGAAGTGCTATGAAGTGCCATGCCATGAACCCAGCTTGAACAAAATCGTAAGCCTGCTTGGACTGATCGTCAACGTTACCCCATAATTTCTTGCTGCAGCGTTGTCTGAAAATAACTCACGTGGCTGCGGCCCCGACCCCGGTCATGGAGCAGGCGCCCCCGTGCATAGGCTCAGCCTCGCGCACCTCAGGGATAGCTTAGTATTCCTACCCTCGGAGAGCGGCGGCGCAGCTCCCGACTCAGCAATAACAGGGGTTCACGTGGGGCATTTAGATTCAAACCAGGCACGAAGTGATATACGCCCTGAGTTACTGTGGAAGTTTAGCATCTGAAGGTTTTCTTCTTCTGCTTGGTCTGGTCAATTTCTGCTGTCCCAGTAGCAGTGTTGCCGGTGGACTTTGACACCACAACCGTCTTCGTGTCCTCTACCTCGTAAGGGGCAAGAATGCGCAGGCCCACACTATAGCCAATCTGGATTGACCCATCTCACAAAACACCAGGGCATCAAACAGCCGATGGCCTTTGGGTTGTACGTCTGCACATTGTTCTTCAGGAACATCTTGTCATGCATGTCGGCGGCCTGAGGGCAACATGGTCAGCAGGGCAGTCCAAATGCCAAGACAGGCCTAGCGCCCGCCTCCTGTGGAGCCAGATGATCCATGGCATCCATGACCTCGTCCACTGTCTTGCCACTCATCTGTGGCACTATCTCGTAGGTGATGTTTACTCGACCTTTGCTTGAGCAGTGCTTCTCAGACTCTGCTGGGATCTGCTTGGCCCAACTTCTCAATGCCTGGGTCGGACTTGCCATTAAACATGCCGACGGGCTGCCGGTTGGAGTCTCTCTTCGGCGAGCTTTGCTGCCGTGCGTCTGAAGCAGGACTGCGGGTGCCTGCAGTGAGCAACAAGACCCGTATGATCCAGAATTGGTAATCTAAATCTTCAGAAGTACAATGTCCATTTGATGTGGATTTTGGATTAGACGTTCTGGTTTCTTCTGTGATTGGAAGACGCTTGGACGCCGACACGATCTCAGTATGCAAGTAGAACAACTGAATGGACTCGGGTTCCATGATACTCTGAATCGGTTTGCGCTTTGGCCCGGACACGTGATACTGACTGCCGTACAGCAGGCAAGACAGTTAGAGCACTAGTGAGGCACACATTGCAATCCTGAGATGATCACACGAAACAAGCAAGAATGCATGTGTTGTGCTGCCTGAGGCTGGATAGCCAGGTCCTTGATGATGATTGCATCAACGGATACACCCACCTCAGACATTGGCAACAAAACGCTGCATAGACCTCGCCCTCCATGACTCATTACGTGCACCGAACATCATTCTCAAATCGACTTAGCATCCTGCTAAATAAGTAGCAGGAGCAGCAGTGGCAGCAGCAGCAGCAGCAGCAGCAGCAGCACTGGCAGCAATGCCCGTGCCATAGCTGTAGCCGGAGCTGTAACCGTAGCTGCAGCCGTAGCAGTGGCAGTAGCAGCAGCAGTCATAAAGAAGGAGTAGTAGCGACAGCAGCAGCAGCAGCAG